AAATGTGAGGAATGGGGTGGGTCAATGCAAAAAACAGTGAGGAACAATGGTGGGACAATGTAACTTGGACAAAAAAGGGTGTTGGATGGTAAAAAAAAAAAAGGTGGGGGTGATAAGGATATCCCAAAGATTAAAGAGATGGCTCAATGAAAAATGATAGGGGTGAAGTTAGGGGCGGGACTGTGTACAATTAATCAGAAACAAGGGTGGGCAATGTTTAAATAAATGAAGGGATGAAGTGGAACAGCAAATCATTGTATGAACAAGGCAAATGTACATTTAAACTAATATGGAATGAAGGGGCTATGGTGTTGAACTGGAATTTTTAAAGATTGGACAGATGTGGGAAATTGAGTTATAAAAATAATAAAAAAGACAGGCAGAAACTGTGATGGAATGAAAATAATTAGGAATGTAGCTAAATAATGACAGTCACGACTAATATAGAAACAGCACAGAAATATTCAAATTATGGGCAATATAACAAATAGTCCACAATATATATATTAGGCTAGCAGTGTGCAGCGTCGTTTCACACAGTTATAAAACAGCTCTCAAAAAGTCGGTAGTGGAACTTCCATTTTCCTGGTCATTTTTTATCTTATGATTGAAACTACGGCTAATGTTTTGTATCTGACCATTCATAAAGTGCTGATTTAAACTTTTTTTAAATATTGCAGACTTATTTTTATTTTAAACGTATAGAACGTTTGTAAGTGTCTTAAACAGACTACACTACTTTATTTAAGTAACAATGAACAATAAAACTGTTCGACATTATTTTTGCACATTAAACACCTGCAATTCTGTTTTATTTAAAATATTAACATAAAATAGCTGTCCTTCTCTTTGTACAGAAATAAAAAAGTAAACTGTAACTTTTTTTACTTCAATTTTGGTATATTTATATTTGTTATAGTTTTTGCGATAACATGTTGTATTTTGTTACATTTCCGGATAATATTTTATTTAATTTTCAAACACCGACATCCTAACTGTTGAGCGGCAATGTATGCTGGTCTGTAAATGTTTTACACTTTTACAAAAAGATATTTTAAAAAAAAAAATCTGATAACAAAGAGGAATCCCGTCCTGATTTCTGACTCCTGTGCCGTCATTCCTGACTCAGAGTCCTCTGACACCTGCCTCAATAAAGTCAATACTTTGACAAAGAGCCCCGGCTCGGACCCCAGACCCGCAGAACCAGAACCAGAACAGGACAGACTGCTTCCTGCAGGACTTTACCGCCCCTCTCTTTCGCTCATAGACACACGCACCCGCACACAACGCGCACACACACGTTTCTACTATGAAGTGTCTCACCTCTGATCCGGGTTGGGTTCTGGGTCCTGGTCTAAGTCCAGGTCTCCGGAGCCCGTATTTCTAGTCCCAGCAGGTCTCTGGTCTGTGCAGGTCTCTGAACCTTGGGCTCGCCTCACACAGACTTGCTGTTGAGGGAGGAAAATAAAGTTACAATATTTAACATCAATTCCCGGCTAAAGTTTCACAATTAAAGCATAGCACTGCGAAGTTGGGACGACATCCGGTCATTTATTTTCACAATAAAAGCTTTGAGCGCCACATAAAGCTGTAAAATTATGGAAGGCAGTGTGTTGGAGTTAAAACCAACCGAATATCACATGTTAACATGTAATAAAAATATTTCCGGGTGACTAAATTTAGCGTACCATATGAAAAATGGTTTAAATAATGAGCATTTAAATCTATGTCCTGAATAATTACAAGGCATCATATGAAGTTTAACGTTTTCAGATCACATGATGCATTTTTATCTATGTAATGCTTCGACATGCAGTGTAAATTGACCAAGGCTGGAGAGTCAGAACAAAGAGTTAGTACAGAACCAGGCCCAGGTCTTTGGGTGTGGGTCGAGTGTTTTGTTGAGGACATCCTCTGTGGACACGTGGACCCTGTGTCCTGTCCTTTGGCGTTTCCTTCTTTCTGCTGAACAACAATCAGACAGGAAACAGGAACTATCTGAAACAATACAATACGACAGCAAGAATCCGGCCTACAGCGGCAGAATGAGGTCACATGACCTTTGGCATCCCAGCAGGAAAACCAGACCTCCTCACTGCTCAAGAGTGACATTATCCTAACCGCTGCAGCAGTGCCACCAAGTGGTCATCTTCGGACCCTACTATGTAGTGACTACAATAAAACCATCTGTTTTAGTCATTTAGCTTAACTAGCGTCGAGTTGACGCAATTAGTGTCGCATTTGTCACAATATGAAATTACTTTTAAACTCAGTGAAGAAGGCAGCAATTGATCATTATCATATCATATATAAAAGATCTAAAGTTGCAGCAGAGAGCGCCAACACTGCAGCAACCATCTACGATATACTAAATATATAGAGTGAGAGAGGCCATAGTTACCAAGCAGTTGAACAGGAGTAATAAAATGGTGACTTAAATGTAAGTTTCATACATCTGTTTATTGTATTTTATTTTATTTGGTTAGACCTGCCAAAAACAAACAGAACACACAGAAAAAAATATATCGTGCTGAATTATGAACAAGTTATTGATGATCTCATTATGGGACAATGACATCACCTCTTTTAAAACAAACACACACAAACAGAGGGAAGACTTGGTGGCATTTAACTTTCATCATCGTCGCTATGGCGAGTCTTCTCCTCACTGAGCCCGCTCTCGTCAATGTTCTCCAGAGAGTCTGCACGCTGCAGCGTCAGCTCCGATGCAGCGATGCTGGGCAGTGTGTTCTGTTCTGGAAACATCCATGGCTTCAAACCTGGATCATGTTTACGCTTCCACTCTGGATACTTGACCGCAGCCTTGTAGATCTTCCTCATTGCCTGAGGAAAAGACACAGAGACATGGGGGGATAGGACAATGTTATGTGCCATCTAAGTCTTGATCTACAGAAACACAGGAAGACTTTGTGGGACAGTAAACCTCCCTTCTAAGAACACATCCCCATGTTAGGATAAGACATCTGGTCGCAGTACAGAGACGTTGGTAGATGTGCTGAGAAAGAGAGACATTTCCTTCTTCACACAGTCAAACACCATGCAATGTGACACTGCTATGTCTTTTAAGAGAAATAAGACCCAGGAATACACAGTGAGGTAGGCATGTTCTAGTAGAGCAGAGGTAAAAGTGGATGTTCTCTAAAATCCCAGATGGGGCAGCTGTTGGCTGTGCCTTGCTTTGTGGGGTAGCCAGGCTGCTAAACCTGCTCAGCTAGGAGGGCATGCTTCCTAGCCACAAAGGGACGACTCCACCCTTTCCAGGGGACTCAAAACCACATGTTGATTTTTCCTCATTAATGTACTTATTCAAATCATTCAAAAAGCCCAGGAAAGCTTCTTGTACATGAACACACCCACCTGTCATGTTTGCACAGCATTGTACATGGATGTATATATACTAAATGTAGCTCTAATCTTACTTAGAAAATAAAAATTCAATACATTTTATTAATCATGTGTATGGTGCAGTGCCTGTTTTATCCACCTTTCCAATATGATCTAGAAAAGTAATTGCTCAGATATATCTCCTCCGACCACATCCAACCTCTAGGCTCCAGACATTTTGCAAGAAGCAGAATTGTGGAAATATAGAAAATAAACAAAGATTGGCTTGGTCACTGATTTTAATGTTTTTGAGAAAGTGCCTGATTTTCAACCTGGAAAACTACAAGTGCTTGGGAAGGTGGAAAGACATTCTCGTTCTCTAGAAGACGTTAGATAGACGTTCTCTAAAACGACAGCTGAATATGGAGGCATGCAGAGAAAGTCATGACCGACAGTTTTACCTTTGGAGCCACAAACTGAGAGACTCTATTGACAACCCACTTTGGTAAAGAACCTGGATACACAGAGAACAAGGGATTATCGTCTGAGGTGTCTTTGTGACATCATCCGAGTCGTTCACAGAGGTTATGTGGATATCTTGTGGTGTGTGTGTGTCACCTCTTGGGTCCACCTGGGTCAGGTAGTAGAGAGTGGAGCAGTTGGCTCCATTGGACTGGATCAGGTATCCGGTCAGTAGAGACACGGCTCGGACATAGTCCTTCTTAGGGGGGTGTTGCTACATACAAAGACACACAAGTAAAGGAATTGGGTTAGGGCTCTGTCAGTAATTATCCATAAAAGGCAACTGTGCTGAGGCAAGTAGAGAAGTCCAGTGGTTATGTCTTCCTGAACTTTATACCACACTATGATGCAGAGTCAAGTTTCCAAAGTGCTGCCCTCATTATAGCAAATACACTGCAGTTACATGTAGAAGAAGAAGAGTGATAGGAAAATCCCTCACAGGACTAGGCCTTATTTGACATGATGCTCAAAGCTACACCAGGTATCGTTATGAATACAACTGCAGAAAAAGCAACTATCGAGTTGTTTGAAGACGGATAAACATATTGACCTCTGCCTACGACAGGGAGGTCTAACATGACTAGTGAGTCCTGAATTACATGCACATGGACAGGGACAATCCGACTGAGACATTTCCTCACCGGGTGTTTGACAGAGTAATTAATGATCAGGTAGTCGTTGCCGAGAGGGAGCCATGACCTCATAGTAACAAAATCTCTGTTCTTCAGAGGGTAAGGAGATTTCCCTATGGAGACATACAAAGACACACACATACACGGTTGACACTAGTGGTTAACTGTAGTAAAAATGGAAGGAAGCTACGTCTTTGATCTGTCCACACTAACAGGAGTAATATCCCACGTCGGCGTTGACCGTCAGCCGAGCAATATCATACGTGTCGATCATGTTGGTGTCCCACTTCTTGCGGTAGCTCGTGTCATGCAGGACATCATAGACTGTCTCTGCCTTCACATCCTTACACACAATCTTCATCTGTGGATGGACACAGGAAGGACAGAAACACAGAGAGGACAGAAGAGAAGGAGACAAAGTGAGGGAGACAAAAGGGATGGTTATCTGGGCCTTTGTTTAAACGAGTTATCAGCACACCTATCTGTCTGTGGTAAGAGACAGACTGGTGTGTGTGTGTGTGCGCTTGTGTGTGTCATGTTACTGTAGAACGCATCTCTTTTTTCCATGTAACTCAATCAGCACGACTCTACAGCAGCTGAATCATTCATGAACATTTTGTCTGTCCATCAGTGGCTATATGTCTTTGTCTGTCTCTGTCTCTTTCCACTGCTCATCCATCAGTGTGCATCTTTATCTATACTGTCCACTGTTTTCCTGAGATGAGAAGAACCATTTTGCAGTTTCCATGTGTCGACCTGTCTCTGTATCTCTCTTTACAGTATAGTGACATTTTCTGATATCAGAATGCACATGGAGTATATTCACATAAAACCTAGCACACAAACACATTACTAAACAAATAATACGCTAAATTAATGCGTTTCATTCGTACTTCTTTTTGGGGCGGGTTGACGGACCCTCGGGAATAAAAAACCCCCAAAACATTTCGAACTTATGCATTTCGAAATCATGTGATTTTTTTAATCAATGTTACCATACGCAATCAGGGGCTATTTTCTTCGCCAATTGACAATTTTCACCAATCAAATTGTCGTATGAGACGAAGTCAATACCTTCCGTCCGTGAAACTGTTTTGCAAACTATGACTATTATGGTGCGCTTTTAGATTCGTTCGGACTGGTAATAACCGTAGGCTACACCTCTACACCTCAATATATTCAATTACCTTAATTAAAAGTTAAAATTTAATAACAAAAGTGTTTGACAGTATCCCCCTCTCTGTTGTGAGCAATCCTGTTTATATCAACTTTTCTCAGCTTACCCAATTCATTAAAATATATCGCTAATGTTTTTCCGCCTAAAGATGGAAATTTGATCTAAAACTAACAATATAATAAATATAAACAATAATAATATTATAAAATATAAAAAGAAAATCTTTCGACGAGGATGGGATTCGAACCCACGCGTGCAGAGCACAATGGATTAGCAGTCCATCGCCTTAACCACTCGGCCACCTCGTCACATGACCGAGCGAGTGTTGTGATTGGTTAAGATATTGCCAAAGACGTTGTCTTGCATATAAGATTAAAATGGTAAATTAAGTTGACAATGCTGAACGCTAATGTCTGCTTTTCAATTATAACTTTTATTACTCATGGGTTAAACTTCTGATTAAAACTTTGACCAGGAGTGGTACTATTTGTACTCCGCATTACTAGTCAATCGTTTTATTTTAAAATGAACGGTTAGCTTTTAGGGTGTTCATTTCTATTTTGGTACTTACATAAACATTATAAACAATAATCGTATGCGTGCTGTTGCCCTCGGCGTTTTTAATATATTGGTCCTTTATTTTATTTTTTCGTTCAATTAATTGTTACAACTTTTACTGTTAGGTTAATTAGTTAGCAATATTTGGATACTGCAACCGTTCGACAAATTATTATTATTATTAGGTCGAAAGTTTTAAGGGTTTTGTATAAACTGAACTATAAACTTTGTTACTGACCTTGATTTTCTGGACTGTTTTGCTGTCCTCATCTCGACACCAGACCGTTACACCTCCTTTATTGTAGCGACTTGTCCATCCATCTAAGTTTAGACATTGATCTTTGAAGGAGGAGAAGTCTGAGTCGTCTGGTATCTGAACAGACATCTTCTCAAAGAATACCAGCGAAGACGATAGGGATGAGCAGGAGAGAAGGTTAAGGAGGTTCAGATCAGTGTGACCCCTCCATTTGGCGCTGCTGACAGCCTCATACACATATGATCACTTAAACTGTGTTGTCATAGACCCGCTGCTGTTAAAACAAATACAGTCTTCACGTGAAGATTCAGAGGAAGAGGACACCGGAGACTAGCTGTCCACTGACCAGTCTGTACCTAACTGCAATTCTGTTTCCTCACCTATCCTGACCACAGCACAGGTAAGACACATTTCAAAGAACCCTCACTACGGCCTAGATTCCAGGAAACACAGATGAGATCAGATGCTCATGATCAGGTTGCCAAACCTATACATCTGACTTCAGCACAAAAAAAGAGACAGAAAGAACAAGAGTTACAAAATAATCACAAGAACAAAAATAATTTAAATTATAGACGATCAATAATAATCAGACCAAAGTGAACATAACCAATAAAATGACTTTCTCTGTGGTTGCTGAATCAGGTATCAGAGTGACTCATCTTCTTGAAGGACCATCTATGGTCAACCGTTGTCTTTGCAAATGCTGCTTTCAGTGTATTTTGTAAAGTTGACCATCACAACTTGTATGACACAAACACAGGGGATAGATGAGGTCTGTCTTTAACTGAGCTGTACATGAATGCATCACCAACAGGAGTAACTGACACCTGTTGTTCAGGTGACGCAGTGAGCAGAGCCGAAGAATCAGGTGTCAGCAGCGGTCTCTGCAGCAACAAAACTGAAACATCAAACCTGAGGCATCAACATCATCATTTTAAAACATGCTTACCCACTAAACGAATGACATTCAACAAAGTTCTGTAAATGGACATGCTGGTTGTAACGCAACTTATTTAATCCACAGTATATATTATTATACACATTGTATATATATAAATATAATAATTGTGGTGTTATTTTCACCTTCACACTTTGAAAACAAGTATGGTCATCCATACTTATTTGGTCTGGTCTAAGCCAGAGAATGTAAAGAAATAAGACATTACTTACACCTGCATTGCTGCTCCCCTAGCGGCAATTGTGGTTAGTGCTAATCTGTCCAATTAGTGACAGATAACGGCAAGTTTATATATTGTCAGTACGTAAATAAGCACTAAACAGTTCAAATATGTCAGCGAACCGCTAACATATGCCCGTGTATTAGTTTGTGTGTCATATTCATCTTTCTTTTTCTATTTTAAAATCATTTTGTCGCCCTTACCCTTTCCAAACCCGTACTTATGTAACAGTATTATTAGTATATGTTGAATATATTAACGTTTTGTTCAACGCTCTGCTGCTTGTGTCGTTGATGAAAACTTCCGAGCATAAGTCACAAACCTGTAATGGTTAAATTGATAATTACGAGAAGCAAAGTAGTATGTTTTTAAAAAATATAAGAGGCGTGTTTACATGACATGTTTTGGTTTTGGAGGAGAAACGAGAGAAGAGCACCTGGAGTTGACCACTAGTTAACACGTCATCTTTTGGCACGTCAGCAGTACATCGTCAAAAGCGTCAAGACGGTGAAAACATGGCGCAGCAACTTGTTCCGTAAATGATTGAGTCGTACATCACTAATTATATAAATCAGAACCCCCGTTTGCCACTGGAGGGTGCCAAAGTACCACCAGTGGTATGCGTATCCTCCTGAGAAAAACACTGATTTTAAGGATGCTTCTAAATGCCTGTAACTTGTTAATAAATAAAATAAAATAAATATTTTCCTTTTTTATAAATTCGACGAAACTTTAGCAACAGCTTAATGCTTATTTTTGCCAGAAACGAGCTTTACTCTAACATTCTGTCACTCTATTTCTCTGCCTTACCCATAATATGATTATAATCTATCACCTATTTAACAACAAACAACACTTTTAGGTACAAACTATGACATTGTTAGTGATTTCAACTAGTAGTCCTCATGAGCACCTACACTCTACCCTAATGAGGCAGAACCTACATTTTATGACTCACATCTGAACAAAGATGTGAGTTGTTGTGGGGTTAGGCGTAGAGGAACACGTGGAATGAGTTTTGGTTAGATATAGTGATACGGTTCAGGTTTGGTTTTACAAAAAATGGAAGTCAGTGTGTGTGTCTGTGTGTGTGTGTGAGACACAGAAGGTCTTTGTTTTTAAGTTTCCAGCAGATGTTGTCAGAGGTCAGGGGTCAGAGGGAGTTGCTTTCACTCACTGATGCCAAGACTTTGTTGAGTAGTGTGAAAAGCTAGCACACACACACACACACACAAACACACAGTAAAGAACATCACACCGTTTCTTCTTTTTTACCTGAATCTTTTTGCTGTAAACAGAACCTCTACCTTCAAGTTCAGACAAAAACGTGCCTGGACGCTTGAGTGCTTCACATGTTAAAAATGCGCGACAGTCGTAAATGTATATGTTTCCCCCAAGGGGGATGAATAAAGCCCTACTCTACTCTACTCTACTCTACTCTACTCTACTCTACTCTAAATGTTACTGTGACCTACTGACCCAATGCCCCGTTTGCCTTAGTGTCCAGCCTGCTGTGTCCACTGTGACATCTGCTGCGTTCTGAGCTCATTGTCTGACAGTAACCGCTGTTGCTTTGACTGTCTGCTGCTATGTTCACTGACTACTGCTGAGGTTGCATTTACTGCCCACTCCTGCTGTATTCATTCCCTGTATTCATTCCCTTTGCTGTCCACACTCGCTGCATTTACAGTAATGACGCATCACCGTTCGCTCGCAGCATTCAGTGTCTGCCGCTGACTTCACTGTCTGACACTTGGTCATAAACCTAGACGTCCTGCAGACTAATTGTAAAATATTTCAAATATTTTCCTCTTCTAAAGTTTTTACAAGTGGAAAAAACCCCAAGTTTCAGAGAGGAGGAGGTGGTGGTATTCAGGTCACACAGTTAGCTGTCTGTCACTAACTACTACCTGCTCACAAATGGTCATGTGCAGTCAGGTTTTTAAGTCCAGCCACTGACAGTTCACAAGCAGATACAGAGAGACAGAGAGAGGACGGCTGGAGACAGACACAAAATCAATTATTACAGTCAATGATGGAGTTCTGTTGCTTCACCATCACTTTGGATTGTTTTTCCTGTTCTTGCATAACATCACTGCTGCATCCAGCTTTTCAATTTCTGAAGCACACGAACCAAAACAATCAAAAACCCCACCCCCCCCCCCCCCACACACACACACACACACACACACACACACACACACACCCCTCCACCCTGTCATGTTTTTCTCTTTGACTGAAAGATGTGCGTTTTCCTCTTCCTCTGGATATTTGACATCCCGACCCTCCCCTCTGCCCTCTCTCCTCCTCCTCCTCCTCCTCCACATCCCAGTATAAATCAGTTGCAGCCACTCACTGTCTGAGTGTGCAGGAAAAAGAGGAAGAAAAGTTTCAGCAGCAGCAGCAGAAAGTAGATCCACTCATTAAAGGTTGTGTGTTTTAGTTTCGTCCAGCACAGACATTAGAAATGAAGGCCTGTGTTCTGGGTTCGATTCTGGTGCTTTCCCTGTTTCTGACCATATGTGTGGCCCGATCTCCGTATCAGGCTGTTCTGCAGCACAGCAGGATCAGAGGACGACAGCAGGGGTGAGTTTTCTTTCACTTTTCTTCTTCATTACCTTCTGTCTTTGCGTTACAGGAAACACAAAAATGGCCAATTATCACTGTTATCACCTTTCTGCACAACTGGTCTTTTCCCATTTTAAATCCAACATTTCAATCTCCCCATTAGGCTGTGCATGTGTGGACAATATGTTGACATAAATGACAATCAGTAACACATGTGTGTCTCTGCATTTCTACATGTCCCCGTCCCCATCACTTCAGTGAGGCACTTCTTGTCCTCATAACTGCAGAAAAACAAAGACGGTCTGTCCCCCGTCGAAGGACCTACAGTGTCTGTCTTACACACTGTTATAGAGATGTCTTCACTCAGACTGTACAGGGACATGTCCTGACATAGAGAGCATACATGTCATTGCATGTTCGGATCGGTTGTCTCTTACAGACCTTATCAAAAATTGTATTTTCTTATGTGGGTATATTTTCTGATTCTCTTTTGTCCGCTACACCATGTAAAGACATGTCCCTTTGTGTCTTTTGTCTTTCAGACCAAATGTTTGTGCCATGCAGCAGATCAAAGGCACCGATAAGAAATACTTCACCAACTGTAAACAGTGGTACCACCGCAAGGTCTGCGGGAAACCCACGTGAGTCCACACTTGCTCGTGTCCTGTGTAACGTCAATGGAGGACAGCACATTTGTCCATTTGTGTCAATTACACATGTGTATCTCCAGTGCTTTTCTTTCAATGTTTACCAACTAAACATATAAGTGGCCTAACATTACCTGAGACAGGTAGTAGAAATACATTAAAAAAACATAATGGGACAAGACCTGAGTACAGTCCTGTGTACGTTTGGAGGCTGGTGATTCCCCTCATGACCTTTGAACTCCACCCCATCACTCCCTACCTGGTCCTATCCCTGGAGCTTCCTAAAAAAAAAAAAAAAAAAAAAAAAAGGAAGCAGAGAGGACATCGTTAATGTACCGTCTGTGGTCTGAGTCAGCATATAATAACAGCAGGAAGGGCTCCTGGTACTCATGGCTCTTTCTTCTTTGAGTTTAGACTTCACCAAGGGCCTATTTGAATGACTAAACATGTTTTTGGGTTGTTTTTTTTTTTTGAGATTCTCAGGTGTATTTTTCAGGAAATTCCTGAATATTGCAGCTTGAAGTCTTGCTCGTTCACAGTCAGATCTATGACACAGCTACAGCCAGTCTCTGAGGTTCTTCTCTTTTCAGCTTTTTCTTTTTTAGCCATATTAGAATGTTTATAAAAGTTTGACAAATCTTCAACAAAAGCAGCTGAAGATAACTGCGCATTAACAATTATATCCAGTGATGGCTGTGGAGTAAATATCTGGGGGTTTAGTTCTTTGTTCGAAGCCCTGGAGGTGGAGACGGCGGTCACCGCAGCAGTTGCAGTTATTATTCTCTTTATTATTGTTCTGATCCTTTCCATTGGCATTAACGTGAAAGAATGTTGTGGTTTCTTCATCAGTTCACTCTCACTTCCTCTCATCCAACATTTCCCACGTTTTTCTCCTTAACTTCATGCTTCTTTCTTGCAGTCTGTTTCCATTGCACTTATTTACTTTTGCATTTTATCCATACTTGGACTTTTACTTCTCTCTCCCTAGTTTCAACAGCTTGATATTTTAACATTTAAAAATGTTAAGTAAACAAAAAATAGATCCACACAACCAC